TCAAGTTTGATTCAAGCAACCTTCATACACCGTTTCAATTAATTTATCCGTAGGTTTATTCGTCTTTCAGGTATTATGAACAGAAGTCTAGGAAGTGATATTTGTTATCATGCACATGTCTAATTGCAAACATTTAATTTACAGGGTGCTTTATCAAAAAACGCGGTACACGAGAAGTACAACACAAGATTACAACAAATATATCGTCAGCGTACCTAGCATAGGAGGCTACCTCACTGAATTTCAGTTTCAGTTCTGTCTGTTCGAGGTTACTGATAAAAAGATCGCGGAGGTTCGGACCCCAAAAGACTACTCATGTCCTTTCCATTCACTCAGAAGTAAGCAGCATTGTTGAACTGAAATTGAATGTTTTTGATAAATATCGGTTAGAGTTGTTTGAATTCTCATTTCGGAAGTAGAATTAGTTTTGAGTATTGACAAATAATATCTATGATTCCTCCTTGTGACATCTTTGTAAATAAGGACTATACATCAAACAAAACTATGCATTCTGAGAGATATTCAGACCTCCTATAATTTCTACAAATTTGAAGGTAACTGTAGTTAACCAGTCTTGAAGAGATGGATTCCTAGTGGTTTGCAAAGCAGCAAGTGAGTTTGCAAAATGGCCAAGTGACCGTAAGCAGTACATGTCTCATCTTAACGACAGGCTTATGAACCTTCAATAAGACATAGAAATGTGGCAAACGGCACTCAACTAGTCGTAATCCATCTATTGTAAACTTATCAGTTAATACCTTCATAGTTTCCTCAACTTTCTTGAGAACCCATTTTTCGTTGACTCAGTAGAGATTTCCTTGTGACTACTTGTGGGAAATTTTGATCATATATCCAAACGTAAGTACGTATCTATATTCACATGGACTTTGCACATATCCCAAGCATACGGTCAAAATCAAAAATGTACAAAAACAAAGTGAGGTTGATTTGTTCTAGTTATCTTGCATACCACAGGATGTTATTCGGTCTTTTCAAGTTTTGTTCAGGAAGGAAATAATGTGACGGATGACTAGTGACTACATGATGTGAATAATTCAAAATGTTTATGTTGTTTCTAGGATAACTTATTCTATTGCATTTGATGAAAGACTATTACTACCAGATCCTAATATGCTATTCTTGTGTTACGTCGTGGCAGATGAGAACAGTGAAGTACACTTCTGCCATTCAATTAATCTACAGAATATTTATCAAGTTTTCGTACAGTTTAAAGTAGTTGTGAGCTTTGAATCACTTCTGAACTCTACGAACGTCATGTACTTCGCCTATCTTCGTCAACGGTTTATAGGTATTTCAAAGATTTAGCATCTATAATGTGATTGAAGTGATTTTGTTCATTTTTGTTGTTGGATTTACATATAGATCAAAGCGACGGTAATCACAATGTACAGAGAGGAAATTCTTTTTGTAGTCCACTTGGTAGCCAGCAATGGAATCCAGGATGTACTTTCCGTTCTATTAAGGGCTCGTCAGATGGATCTACCCGAGAAATGTTGTTGCCACCGCGACTACAGGCCCCATCAGTTCAAACGCCAAAGTGCTATCCACTGGGTAACTATAGCATAATGAGTCTCAGGCCTTATCCAGGCTTCCATATAGGGGCACATCTCACAATAGAGTCCAAGCTATTCGACTCAGTATAGCAAAGCGAAATTAAAGGTATCAACTCAGAAAAATTTTCATGGATCATTATATATTCAGCCTATTGTTTAAAGCTTAGGGCGTATCCTTCTACTTCCAGATAATAGCATTAAGGTATAAGCATATTTCGCCAATTAAAAGTTGAATTCTACTCACCATACAAGTAAGTTTTAATATAATCCCAGTGTTTCGATTACATTAAAACTTACATAATGATTAAACCTGACTTGGTGCTCAACTTCTTTTAGGACACTCATAACAACTATGGCCTGGATATTTATAAGTAGACTTCTACTATTGGAAAGAATAAATATAACCCTGTAGGCAGCCAGTGTATAATTAAGTCTAGGAAACGGTGTAGAAAAGTATTCTTCGTTCTGCCGAAGCTCTGTGACATATGATACTAAAAGTAGGTATTCAAAGAAAGCTTCATTCTTTAAAGAACTGGTGCGTTCGTGATACCTATAATGTTGGATGAAGCAACCGAATTAGAAATGTTCAGGTTAGATGTGACATTCTGCATAACACTTTAATTTATCAAACCCAGTTGTGAACATTAAATGATGTGGCTAGATCTGTTATGTTCTAAAAAGTCTTAGTAGCTGCTGTAATTTCGCGGAAATAGAAGTAACTGGTAAACATTACATTGTGGGGAAACCAGGACACTGCATCAATTGACATTTCATACGTTTCCTTTCTTAAAAGTGGTACTGAAGTAAAGAAGCTGAGCATTATATTGTTGATGCGAATCTCTCCTCTTTTCTATTGTACTTGCATGAATCGATCCGTCATTATTTTTAATATGCTACAGTTTCAATCTGTTTTATTTCATTTTAATATTTGTTTAACCGACTTATTTTTTTCATTGTTATCTGGAAGTCTTGTAGCTTGCACAGTTGTATCACTATTTTGCATTCCAATCACGTAGGTTTAATGACGTATATATATAAGTGTATCTAAGTACTTATTTGTATGTATGCACGTTTGACATTTCGCTTTCTAAATAAATTCAGTCTTGAAATGGATATGCAGATGCCTAACATCGAACTGATTGTGAAAATATGTTAGCAAAAAGACTGGAGCATATTTGTGTCTATCCTCGATATGCTTAAAGGAAAAAAGTTCAAGAAACACATGACTAAAGATTTACCAATGCAAAAAGCAAAACTAGTTTTTTCATTAGGGTAGAAGATACAAAATAATAACGAAATGATTTGCGAATAACTTCAGTCATCTAGGTCCCACTGCTATTAAAAAGGTATAGATGGATTGCATCTTAAATATGGAATAACTATGCTATGATATAGATGGGCATGAATCATAGATACAAACCCTTGAATATTTTGGCAAATATTAGGATAAAGGATGATTTTACTTCACCTCCCATAAAGTGTAAACTACAACACTCTAGAAGTAATTCATATGAAGTTAAAATGTGGTGAAATCTAAGACTTTTGTTCACCAATCATGCTCAAAAATCTTTAGAGTTAATTATAATCCTCGGAATTATGAATAAAACTTAGCCAGTAGGTTCATCGTCAATGATGAACAGTGGGTAGCAGTAAAATTCAGACATGCACTTCATCCTACTTGGGACTTGTCAATTGGATGTACCTGCCTCCTAGTGAGAGGTGTTGATCCCCCTAAAGCTGAAATGACAATCAATAGCTTCAGATGCCAGATCGTTATCTAATAGGCCACCGAGTCAAGATGGTCACTCTTTAAGCGACAGGTATAGTATAGTTTTGATGTCATAGCTTGTAAGTATTCCTTGTTGACTGGACCAAACCGATCCATTACTGCTGGCATAATGAGCTCCTGTACGAATACCAATAGTGGCCGATCAATTCAATCCATTCAACAACGAAGACTTACATGCAAGCTTTGACATTAAAACTAAGTTGACGAGTTTCCTGGAGTCTTGTACTTCATTTGTAAAGTTCGATAAGGGGGTAATATTCATATTTAGCCACTGTATACAACCAACCGGAAACCTTTCACAAAATGGAGAAATGTTTATTAAACCATAATGATAATATACCTGCTCCACTCAACAGCCAGGTGTATTACTGTTTAAATGTATTCATACATTTTGAATGATACAAGTAGGATAGATAATTCAATTTTAGCACCAAAATCATTTCTTAAAATGTTAGAACCTTCCCTATTTTGTACACTTTCAGCTCTCTGTTATCCAAATCATACTGTCAGTGCTGCTGCTTTTTTTTGAAACCTATTATGACTGCTTTCTTCGGTATACCCACACCTAGAGGTAAAGTGTTTCACATCCGCCTCCGTAAACTGAGCTTCAGTTTCCCACGAGAATATTTTAAAATAGATAATATGAGTTATATGATAGGGAAAATATCATTAAGATATTGATGATTAAGACATTTTCTGTTACAGTAACAACCAAGCAAAAACATAGTTTACTTAATATACTTCTTAATATAACTCGAAAAAAGTTGTTATACTCCACGTAAGAATGCCACGCTTATGAAATACAACAAGAAAGTAGAACGATATAATGATGGTATTACTATCTACGGCAATTATTATGTTGCATTTTCGTTTACCTGTGATGGGATTTAGAAAACTCCAAAGGATTAATGAGTCTCAAACAAATCAACAAGCATAGGCACATATATAAGTAATGCCAAATTTAAAACTTGTTACTGTCTTCATTACTACACTTTTACCCGAAGATAGTAGCCAAAACCCATCGAAACTGATCTATCACGTTAGTCATCATCAAACACCAACTGCTTTAGACGAAGGAATATATATATATATATATATATATATATATATATATATATAATATTACAAAGTGTAAGAGTTAAGCTAATGGCTTCTACATACAACTGTCTAGTAGATACGTTTGGAAACCAATAAATCTGATCTCTCACCTTTATTTTAACGTAAAAGATCCTTTAGACATGAGAAATTGCTATGCTTAAAGAAATGCTATTCGAAGGTGATCCGAAAATATATGCATTTTTGCATACAAAAAATATCTGGTGAATTGGACTTTCAACAAACTGTGGTTATTTCAGTGTCCTACAGACTGATAATCACATTTTCCATCATTTTATAAGCCTCAGAAATCACACAGACATTCACATTAGCTTTTACTTCATAAATTATTTAGCTGTTGGTCAAAACACATTTGGATGGTTAAACATGCATACTCAGTTGCTGATAATTTATCAAAAGTTGGCTGAATTGGCAGTTTGTAGGGATTGACTGGTTTCGAAATAGTATTGATTATGAACGGACATCAGCTTGTAGTACCGGTACCCCAAAAATAAATTAAGTCAAATGAATTTTAAACTCACACCCAATTCCAAAGCGAAGATATAAATTGACGGCTTCTCCACGTAGAGAAAATGCTATCCTAGGAGCTGATAATTCACCTTTCTCAATTGCCTCTAAACTTGCATGTCGGTGTTTATACACGTAGGCCAATGTGAAGATCATGACGATAATTGAAGTGATAAACATAACGGTATAAAATGACTACAAAGGAAAGAAAACGATACAAACAGAAATATTGTCATTTTATGAAAAAGCCTCTGGAGTTCTATAAATGATACTTCATAATTCTGTTTGAAACCCTGCTACAAACCAGTCTTGTGGTGAACTAATTCATTCACAAAGAATTTTTATTTTCAGGTAACAGTATGAATATACCGCTTTGTCTAATGTAAACGTACCCATCTAATATTTGATTCCATGGTACCCGTAAAACTCATTTGAGAATAAACAACTGCTTTATAAGACGGTTTTCAGTTAATAATATTTATTGAAGAAAGAGCTCCACTCCAGCAGTTTTTTAAATAATCGATAAAATGTTTTGGTTTCACATGTGTGGCATAATTTCAAAATCAAATGAATAAAGGACTTTAAAACAATATATTGCTTATCATAAATAAGTTTTCCCTGAAAAGTATTCAGGATTCGCAGGAGATTCACGATACTCTAATACAAAGAACTCAGTGGCTTTTAATCATTATTTAGTAAACTTTTGACACTAACTGTATGAACTTCTTTAAATAACCTCAGTGGTTTTAGCAATCAGTCACCTATGCTAATAAAAATAATTCTTTTTGAAATTAACTTGCACTGATTTCTTAATCACGAAATGGCCAGTTTGCTTCTATCATAGGTTTTTAATCACTGCCTACACTTTACAATTGATTAATTCATACATAATTGACATTTCTTCGCAGGAAATATTTTAATAAGTCACATGTCTTAAGAAAAATGTTAGTCCACAGGATCCACATTAATAGTCCTGCATATCTCAATTAGTCAATAGCACTTTTTTATAATTCAGTTGTCAGTTAAACAGACCACATTTTTCAGCTTCGCTTAAATAAGAGATCACCCAATGCAAAAACCGAAATGGACTATCGACTAAAAATGTTATTATTTAACCTAGGTAGGCGGTAATGAAATTCAAGACTTGCACTTCATTATATCTGTAACTGGAAAGGTGCATTGAGGTAGGAACTATTGTGATAATGTTTCGAAAAGAGTGGGTAAAAAGTGACTTCTCCAGATGTTGGTTTACTGTCTTTTATGCTACTGATCATCAATGGAAAGAAGATCTGGATGTTGGCAGGGATAACGAAGCATCTGATAAATAAATATTCCCTCTGAACTAAAGTTGAATAGATGTAACTTTTAGCGGTATTCCATTCTTCATCTTCAGGGCGATTTAAGGGAAAGGGGAAATGGAGATTTTCCTACTACCATTTATTTGAATCTACTTTACCCTACTAATAAACTTCCTGTTGTTATTTTCTTTGAGTTAGTCAATGCTTTTCAATTTCGACTTTGACTGTTTAACATTTGCGCTTCGAAAAAAGCGTTTTTCTCACCAGTGTTTTGAATCCTTAATCTTGTGATTACTTTTCTTTGTTCAAGTGTTCGAAAAGGTACACCCTGATTTATGGTCAATATGATAAGAAGTTAGCGACTGTAAAATAAGTTTCTATCACCGACCAACATCAACCAGAAAACTGTCAAAGACCTGGAAGCACTAAATAGCTGTTTCGTCCTAATTCAGGACTCCTTATAACTGTTCTCATATAATCACATTCTAGGTTATTTTAACAGTCATTTTAATACATCACACTTACGAAGGTTTTGGAGTATAGCAGAACCATTTCCACTTAAACACAGGGCACCGAAGTAGCATATACCTAGGGCAGTAATAAATATCATCTGTACATTACTATCCCCAAACAATGTACTGAAAATCATGCAATTCCCGACAAATAATTATTTTTCAACTTTATTTCTACCATTTAAGAGTCTGTTGATACATTTTAACTGTTGGATAAAACTGTTTGTTGATATAAGTGGGGTGAGTACATCTACTGTATGCAAGGTTTATTTTACTTTGCACGTAAGTGGGACTAAAGATATTTATATATAACTGAGGTGTGAGATCTCAGGAATCAATCAGTGGGAAGCTATAAATCTGAGCTTCTCATTTTTCGGAAACAATCAGTGAAGTATATCTGTAACACTATGGATACTAGTGTTGCCCGGAAGATTTGAATTTTTGCCTTTGACTTCAAATTTAGAAACATGAGTACCAAATTATTCAGGGCACGATTGAGCACCCACAGGACTGGAATTTGTATTTGAAATGGTTAAAGTACGGCAATCAGTGCAAGTATCCATCGAAAGTGTTTACTGTGGCTACTAACCAAAATGACATGTCACCAAAGTTCTTTTTTTAGATTGCAAATATTTAGAGCGCATCAGTGAAAGATGTGTTGTTCAGTAGGAACTAACCTACGATTTACAGGCCTTTATCAGTTTTTTCTACTGTCTTCTTACTATAGCATGAAAGCACACTGTTTCTATCTACTTTTTGTTATGTTTTCTACCATATTTTGAATATAATACCTCGAAAACGTTAAAGATTCTTTTAGAAGGTGATTTGAATACTCCTTTATATGTTCATAGATTAAACGCCAATCATTCTAACAGAACCTTACCCAAATTTCTGATGCAACTCAGCTTTGTACTCGTTTGATTTATCTGGCTATAACCTAAGTTAATTATTGTGTGGATGCTCCTGATACTACCATACGGCGAAAGATGGAGTAGATGAAGTGGGGCACGAACTGAAAGCCCTCTGATTGAAATTTGTATGCTTAAGTCAATAAGCCACGCCTTTGCATTATTTTCCCCTGAATGGAAGTAAGATATGCTCTTAAATAAACAGTTAATCTAGTTCAGTTGGAAGCAGTTTGTTTTTTCCCAAAATACTGACTGAAACTGCTAATAAACTTGCACCGTAACAATATTTGAGATATCTAACTGCATTACTGGCTCAGTAAATCATGCAAATCTACATACAATAAGTGTACGAGAATGGTTTACATTCATGACATTTTCTATTCTTTAAACACCGGGAGTAAAATTTGACCACATAAAGTTAAATAAGTTGGCATTGGGTAAACGGTTTATCAATAAAATATTCCTTTATTGAATCCCAGTGAAGTAGAAAAGTGAATTTCTGACGCTTTAAAACCTTGTGGAAGCTGCCTCTTTAAAGAATGAGATTTATATTAGTAATCTTATATTCCAATAATATATGGACAAATCAGATTAAACCGTTCAAATATACACACAGAAGCAACAAGAAGGAACAAACGTTATCCTCATCATATATTAATTAGTGGGATCAAGAAGACGATATGAATCGCTAACATATTTGTCTATGGATTACGAAGTTCTAAGTGATGTATATTTATAAGATAGTTGATGGAATGCAAAACGCTTATAATATTCGTTACTTGTGTGATTCTATTGATCTTCAAACTAATTTCATATTTCCACTCTTTTCCAAGAAGAAAACTTCACATCAGTTCATTGCTATTATCTCAGTTTTCAAAATGTCAACCAATCATCGAGTCATTCGTTCACCTAACATTTTCTAAACAAATTTAAATCAGCTATTTTTGAAGTTTGGGATCTTGCTCCGCTATTAGATAATTGAAGTTTGTTAGCATTCGTTATCATTAAATTTTAATTCAAGGATTTACTGTGATCATCATGTTGCACACAAATCACAAACGCCTACAAGTTCAAGCAGTCAATCATAGGACACTCAGTAGTTAAAAACTAAATCTCTGAATAACAGCTACCCATCTTTGCGACGTATGCTATCCAAAAATATACTGAGATTAGTCTTTACTACTATCCTGAATTAAATTGTATAACTGAGTTTCCCTTATTTGAGTGGAGTGTATTTATTCTTATCTCGTTAAATTTGAAACATTTTAATTTATTACACCGAATTCTGACATAAATAAAGACTAATGGGAAAATTCTATTCCAAATTTTCACGTAACAGTTAGTGTTGCAGTCACTTGCTATCATACAGACTGGAGGCAATAAACTATGTGATTGTCTTTTTAGAGACCATTTTACAACATGGCTACATTGTATTTAGGAGTTTTAGCTCTATGCATAAACGACTGAGTTTACGATTCCAAGGTAATCTGAACTCAAAAGGTTTATTAAAAAAGTTGAAAGGAGTAATCCTCTGTCAGTGAAATTGATGGAAAAATAATCAGTTACTTCACATTTTAAAAGCTGCATAAAATTAACATTTATTATGATGTACGATAAGATGATTTTCGGATAGTTAAATTACTGTGTGGGTGTGTACAACTTTTTATAAACCAGTCTTTACTGACATACACAGATCCACTTTGAATAACTAACATTAGAAACTAATTTATCAATGTTGTTCGGAATCAGGGATGAAATTAGATGGAGAGTGGTGTCTAAGTGAAATAAACCAGTAAACATCAACTGAGAAAAAGTGCGTAAAACATAAAGGTTACTAATTCACATAGGCTGAGATAACGGAAGATGATATACTTTGACTTGTTAAATGACAATATAAACAAATATCCAAAAGCATATATTGATCAGACAATGTAGGTTGAAGTAATTTGCTTCCTCTCAAAATAGTGACTGTATATAAGTGATTTTTTCTCACAATCATATCATTCAGGCAATTCTCTATACTACCGTTGCTTGGATTCTACAACAGTAAACATAAAATATTCAAGAGGTATGGGATGGAATTAGTCTGTTAGATCACGAAATATCCGTATATGTCAGCAGGCGTGAGAGGAATTTGTGTTTCGTTTCGAAGTAAGACATGTTTTGTTGACTTTCATACCATTTTAGCACATTACGAAAATAGCTATTTAAACCCGTTGACTTACCTACTCTAGAAAAATAGCAATACTCGCTCTAGCTCAAACAAAATGTATGGTGCATTATAGAGTTTTCAGCACGTAATATTTCAATACATTTCAATACGACATTTTCAAAAGAAATAATTATTGCATCTGAATAGTGTTAATAATAACGCTGTTAAAGGCACTAATGTGAAACGGAGAGCTAGTATTACATTAGCGTGCGGTCTAGATTCGGGGATGAATACAAAATCGAGTCCAATTATGGTGATGGCAGTC